CAAAATGGTGCACAAATCCACGATAATCACGGTCAAACATCTCACTATATCACTCATAATGCATGAAAATATGATGAATGTCAACCATATTCCGAACGGCCTTAACCATTGCTTCATGAACTCCAAAGGATCCTTCGGATCCTAGTACCATTTGCATCACGCATTGGCTACCCACCTCAGCAATTACTCGGCGATATCCCATGTCCCAAGCTAACTGCAACCCCTGAAATAACCCCCAAAGTTCCGCACCCGCAGTGGTGCAGTAGCCAATATTCATGAAGAATCCCTCAATCCACTTACCCGTTTCATCTCGGATAAGCCTGCCCGCACTGTTCAAGCCCGTTTGCTATTATGATATTTGGTAAGAATGTGTAATTCTATTAGAAAAACAAAGATAGATATCATTAAACGAGTGTACCATAAGTATTCGTGGGTATATATTGTGGCAACGTTTTAGTAAGCTTAGAGTCTCACATATAACCCTGGATTGTGTGCATTAAGTTCATGAACCCATTGATTTTGCGCGCGGAGACCTTCTCATCACTTATTTCAGTACCCTTATGTGCAAAGACAATTTCACGAGAGCGCTTTTTGTATATGCCAGAGAGGGTCCAGTAGTGATCTTTGGATGGTCCCACATGCACATCTCATTTGGGGCTCGACATGTGCTAATATAGAGCACACTTAGTGCCATGTTGATTCATCTTCTTGTGGTGCTGAATCCCCTAAGATCCACTCTAGACGATCTTGACCAAATCATGAGTCGTTATTATTGAGGCAATGGGACGACTTTGGGAAGGGCATGTAGTACCACTGGGTTATAAGGGGGTAAGGGGTGGATCGCCGCCTCTTGAACGTGGTCAGTTTCTTTTCGTGCAAGTTGTGGTGGCGCTTCAAGGAGGGAAAATTGCTTTGAGATTAGTACCTTCGCGACAAATACTGCCTCAGAGGCGCTAGTCACAATTGTCCGGTGACGGCTATGACTCATGAAAACACAGAGGAGGAGACTCATTAGGGTAGATAGACGCTCTCAGGAACACATCTTCTGGATTTTGGAATTTAGAAGAGGTTGATGTGAGTTTCTGGGATGATTGGTGGTGCGGTGACATGCCATTTTCTAGTTTGTGCTCGCATATTCCTTTACTCTCATTGAGTTTTGGCAGAGTTTTAATGAGCATATGATAGAGTGGATCTAACATATACCCATGTATGAGGACAGTTTGGATAGTATGAAGTGGAGACTTACACACTGAGGTGTTTTTTCTATGACCTCGGCTTGGGAAGACATCAGGCTAAGAGAACAGTCTAACCTCCTCTTCAGAGCCATGTGGCTGACCTCCCCCCTCAACCATTATTCTCTTTCTCTAGTGCCTTATCTTGCGCTGGAAACCCATTGATACAATCCTCCATACTAGGGGCACTTTTTTTTCCTCGCAGTGTGTGTGATATTCAGAGACTGAACACTATCAAATCGAAATATTTATCTATTTATTTCTGGAGAGTGATGTAGCTAGGAAGTGTGGAAGCACTTTTACAACTGAATAAATTTATCCACGGCCGCGACAAAAAAAATCTTTGTGTCATGAGTTCTTTCTCACATCGCACACATTATAAATATGCGGGCTTCTTCATTTCTTGTCAGATTAAGTGAATCATTTGGATAAATAGAAATAAAGTGAAGTATATATAGGGAGGTTACTTGTGCTCTCATATTATTTGCAGGTAGAGAGACACATTTTCCTCCTTACGACCTTGGACAAACTTGCATCCCAAGACTGGACAGACTGTACGCCGCCACACACATTCATGTCGTCCACCTTGATCGTTGCCTCTCCAACCTCTCTATCCTAGAGTTGTTGTTTGACTAAGATCTGGATCCTCTTGGGTGAAGCTGAACATTGACATTCCGTTCGACCTAAACACCAAAGTTGTAGATGAGGAGGTCTGATTCGGTCTCCAGATAGCAGATGCATGCATCTCTACAAATATTCAGATTGAGTTGGACGTTGCTGCTATCGCCACCCTCCTGACTTCGTGAATCTTTTATGTTTATGTAACTTTTATATATCATTTGGTGTAAATATAATTACTAAAATTAGTAATAACTATTATATGATTCAATAAAAAATATAATTATTACTCAATTGATATTAAATGTAACTGTTTTTGTTTTTGTTTTAATTAACAAAAAAACTAATGAAATATTTTACAATAATGACATAGAGTGGACTAACGTCACATAGGTAAAATTTATTATGTTCTATTTAATAATTTATTAATTTACCACATGGGTAAACTTTATTAGGTTTTATTTATTAAATTTTATTTAATAATTTGCTAGCAATTATATATATAGTTATTTATGCAAAAAAAAAAATAAAAAAAATTCATCCATGGCTACCTCATTCTCTTCACATTAATTTCGTTTATTTTATTATTGATATGAAACAAAGATAAAAGAGTAAAAAAAATAAAAAAATATCAAGGTAAAGATTCCTAGAATCTTATGGATCGATCGTGCTAACACCCATTAAACAAAGGAATGAGATCGCATGTTTGCACATCATGTTTCAATTTTTATTTCATTCCATTAAATAAATAATACGTAAATAATAATGATATCATTTTAAATTCGTGTCATTAATAAAGTCATTCATATAATTTAATGAAATATACATTAGAATATAATTTTAGAGAACATAAGATCTTTCTCCTAGAATTATACCCAAATTGAAACTTAATACACCAATTAAATTAAATAATGATAAAACATTAGTTCCAAATTAAGATGCATTATATTTATTTTTGGACTTTGCATTATATATTATTTTTCTTTCTAAAATACAATGTGAACTTGAACATTTGTAATTTTTGACTTTTTTATACATCTTGACCATACAATCATCCCGTAAAAATGGAAACGGTCAAAGTCAAAATGTAAGAGATGTTGCAAATTGTGAATGTTTCATTTAATTTAGTTGAAATTATATTTTACTAAATAAATGTTATATATTTGTAAAGCTAAAAAAAAAGGTATAGTATCCAAAAATGTTTTACACGTTAAATAAATATTTATTGATTAATAAATGCATCAAATGATTAATTAGGATATATAGTACTAGTATTCTTGAGTAGAATATTGATTTTTGACTGATTCACATTAATTACAAGACAAAATTTAAATTTCCAATCAAAGTCATTTTCTCCAGAAATCTTGAATATAACATAGTAATAATTTTGACACAATCAAAATCTTGAATATTGACAACAACTATGTAATATGATGTGATGATGTGCCGGTCTTCATATATAGCGATAAGCACCATCAATTTAATTTTGCAAAAATAGTTAAGTTGCAATTAATGTACTAATGCAATCGGCAAATTAAATTGCCTTTTATCACATATAATTCCTTTGACTATTTAAATTAACATCATGGACACATTGGTTATGGCATAATTTTATGTAACCAATTATGGAGGTGTGATGTGCTTACAAGTTACAACATAAGATCAAACAAAAATATTGGTGTCATTACAAGAAAAATTGCTTCTAGCGACGCTTATTTTTTTCTGACATCAAATTTACTGACGCTTATTTTTGTTTACTGACGCTTCTTTTTTTCTGATATCAAATTTAGCAACACAACTCGCAAATAAACGTCATTAATAAGCGTCGCCAAATGCAGTTTTTCTTGTAGTGTGTGGAATAGTCTAAGGGGCACCAAAAAATATAAAATAAATAAATATGAAAGAAGAAGAAGAAGAAGAAAAAAGACGGTAAAGACAAATAATACTAAATAAATAAGAAATATCAAATTTAAATAATATAAAAATTAACAAATAAATAAATAATAATAATAAAAAACAGTCTGGACTGCGGGCTAACCCACCCCAGCCCGCTTTAGACCGCGGGCCGAATGGGGCGGGCCAAATAGGCCCGCGATTGAACAGGCTAGCCAAGCAAAAGCCCAAGCCCGTCCATTTAGGCGGACAGACGAGCCAGCCCGCGGGTCATAGCCCATTTTGACGGTGCTATTAATACCCTTAGCTCAACTGACCACATTTATTAACCCGACTTATTAATCTAACAGCCTAACTAATCTAACTGTAGTAATTTGTTTGTTGCCTAATAAAAACTCATGAAACAAGAGCAAGATGTAAGCAAAAAGCCAACCCAATAAACAGCCTTGATAATATCATTTTTGTACTAGCTATTTTTTTTTTTTTTTTTTT